GAGGGTTCAGAGGATCTCGTAGTCGAGCAGTCTCGACTAGAGCTTTCTTACTTGTCTTATTTATGATTTCCCTATATAAAGGTGTAAATGCTATGACAAACTAGTTATTGCCCAAATCAATGTTTAGTGCGTCAATCTGTAATAATGGATGAGGTTTTCCAAATCGAAAATATTCACAATTGGGGTATTTTGTAGGGGCAGCTTTGTCTTTAGATCTTACGCAATATTCCATTATCGAAATCAAAGCAAGGATATTTATCGATAATAGGCTAATCTGAAGCAGTCCACAGATTGTCTTATTTATTACAATTGACTGTTATATTATAAATAAAATAATTTATGTAAAAATAAGTATTTATGCATTATAAACTTGTAGTATATAAGTAATATCTGATTAATATTTTTGAACATGGTCAACAATAATCGGCCCTCATTATAAAGCATTATCTCGCATAAATAGGTTATATTAGCTATATAACATATATAAAATATAGCTTAATTGATATATGTATATAATATATGTATATATATATCATATATGATAAATAGCATAAATAGCACACATGGTATATACATATAGCTAATATAGCTTATATAGGCAGAGTTGAAATTGAAAACGATCCTAGGCTTAACATTTTTATTGCAGAAGATATAGTCAGAGTTCGATTTGATCCAAGTTCAGGGACACTTTATGATATGCATAAATCTACAGCAAGTCTCGTATGTCCCTTCCTCCAGTAAGTGAATTAGACTATAGAAAGGGGATACTCGATAAAAATGCTACTCAAATTCCTGAATGCATTTAGCGAGCTCTGTCATTGAACCAAGAACTATTTAAGCATCAATTGACTGCTTCTGGTTCTGAACCCATTTACTCGATTGTCGTGCCAACTAGTTCTAGTCTTTTGTCAGACTGACACAACATATTCTTCCATAATCCAGTTGAAATTATGGACTCATTGACTCGTTTAGTTCGGTTGACTCAAAATGTGAATGGAAAATACAAAATTTCGGGTGTTTTCAGAACTTTCCTCTTTTTATTTTGCGGATATGACGTGCTCGTCTATTATGCCATTTAACTGTATTTGCCGATACCTGTACACCTGCGACCGTGCTCCACCTGTCCCGCTCGCCTAGCCAATGGCATCCATGAGAGTGCAGAAAATGTGGATGCTAATTTTCGCACTTTTGTAGTGAATACGCGGCATCTTTTTCAGTCTGTCTCGCTCTATAGTTGTATCCCATGTACATAATTTATTTAGAAGTACTATGAATCAAGAGATCGCCAGATGACGCCCCAAGATTATTAGGATTGTTGATTTTCTATGCAAACAATATTTACATCCACATCCGCATCCGCATCCGCAACCGCATCCGCAACCGCATCCGTATCCGTAGAGAGAATCGAATGGAATGAATAGTAAGGGCAGTGCACACTCATTACTGAATTGAACTGCAGTGGTGATATCTATTGACGTTCTCATAAATCTGAATGAATTGTGAGTTGTATGAATCATCTCGATTGCTCATAATTATCGCGATTATGTCTCGAAACCGATTGGAAACGCATTTTATGAACTTATTTATTGAGCACTTGCACTTGCGCCTGCAATAGATGATCCCGATGATGCAATTTTCGATTCCATCTGGTTCGAGTTCAAGTGCAACATTTGCACAGTGACTGATGCTCGATCGCATATATACATCGATATACATACGTGTACACATGTACATATATCGATATCTTCCCTATCAGTTATTCTGTTTGTTTATCAAGTCATTATTGGTAGAGCGCACTTCAGGCTGATGTTTAAGGAGATTATGCCAAGTCGACAAGAGTGGAAATCGATTGGCTTCCTGCTTGGCTAGCTCTCTATGTGCAACACAGTTGTCGCAATCAGACAGATTCCATTCATACATATATGTATATATCTTCCGCTTTGGCATATTGGCTTTACCTTATAGCACCTGTACCTAGTCAATGGGTAGCCTTGGCCTTGAGCAGATGTTGATTAAAGCACAAGCAAGCTTCTAAAACTCTAAAATGCTTTGTCGATTTTCACTCTCAAATTTAAAGCCACAGACAGAAGAGCTTCAACATTATCTAAGTGGACTTCAAGAAACGATAACAATCCATAGTTATGAAAAGCCAACTCTATATTTTGTATAGTCTAATATATATTTGGTATAGTCTAATATATAGTAAATGTATTTTATGTTTTTATTATTTTCTATTATTATTATTTTATTTATATATCCTAAGTAGTTATTTGATAAACTATTTTATTTAAGTGTGGGACATAATGTTTTTATTATTAATATTATTATTATTATTTAAATTTAAATGTGCTTAAATTAAAAATTTTTACATATATTTTTTACATTAGTTTTATTTATTTTAATTGAATCCAACTATTTTTTTTTTTTAAGTTATTTTAAAATTTTCTTTAATATATTCTTTTTTTTTTAGATTTC